TCATAAGAGATAGGAGACTGGGTTCTAATTTGGGTATTTCGGGGCTTTTTGACAAACTCTAGGCATATTTTGTCTTCCGTGGGCCTTTCTCCATCTGCAGAGTGAAGGGGCCAGTGGTACTAGGCCAGAGAGGCTAACATGTGTCCTTTGTCCTAAAACTGTGTCCCCTTGGTTCCTGAAGCAACTCCTAATTCTTCCTGTGCTCCAGACTTTTGCCTGAGGCAGACATCACTAATCCATAAGCCACAAAACAGCAGCTCTTTCTGTGCTCCCCACCTGTACCTAAGGCAGACATCACTAATCTATAACTAAATATATGATTGTATATTGATACAAAGAACTAGAGTATAACTCTTTTTATAGTTTACTTATGTGCTAAAGACAGACACTGATGGTCAACAGCTATGTTCTTTCTTCCTCTTCCTTCCTTCCTTCCTTCCTTCCTTCCTTCCTTCCTTCCTTCCTTCCTTCCTCTCTCTCTCTCTCTCTCTCTCTCTCTCTCTCTCTCTCTCTCTCTCTCTCTCTCTCTCTCTTTCTTTCTTCCTTTATTTAAAGAAGCCATGCTTTGGATGTACTGACATATTGGAGTCATCCTTTACATTTTTGTTTTAATCTTAAATTTTTTGAGGTTTATATTTCATGCCATCTTTTCCTGCTTTTTAAAAAAGACTTATATATTTATTATGTATACAGTGTTCTGCCTGTATGTATGCCTTCAGGCCAGAAGAGGACATCAGATCTCATTATAGATGGTTGTGAGCCATTATGTGGTTGCTGGGAATTGAACTCAGGGCCTCTGGAAGACCAGCTAGTGTTCTTAACCACTGAGCAATCTCTCCAGCCCCTTTAAAAAATCTTTTTTGTTGTTGTTTTTTGAGACAGGGTTTCTCTGTGTAGCCTTGGCTGTCCTAGAATTTGCTGTGTAGATCTGACTGGCCTTGAACTCACAGAGACCCACTTGCCTCTGCCTCCTGAGTGCTAGAATTAAAGGCAAGCAACATCACTGCCTGGCCCAACTATGTTCTTTTATGCAGAACCTAAAGCATTATATTTTTGTGCTCCTTCTCCAATGAGTGGCCATTAAAGAGAGGCCTGCTCTGAGGTGTAACCAATAAGAGAAAGGTATGAGCCGAGCAGTGGTGACACACGCCTTTAATCCCAGCACTGGGGAGGCAGAGGCAGGCGGATCTCTGTGAGTTCAAGACCAGCCTGGTCTACAGAGCAAGCTCCAGGATAACCTCCAAAACAATACAGAGAAACACTCTCTCGAAAAAAAACAATAAACAAACAAAAAGAAAAAAGAAAAAAAAGCTATGAATCACCAGGCATAATGGTCTATGCATTTAATCCCAGCATTTGGGAGGCAGAGACAGGCAGATCTCTGTGAGTTCAAGGCCATCCTGGTCTACAGAGCAAGTTCTTAGGCTGCCAGGGCTATGCAGAGAGAGCCTGTCTCAAAAAAAAGCAAAAAAAGGGGAGAAGCTATGAAATACCTTCTTGAGTGTATTCCTTCTCAAGAAGTAGATGCAGGAAAGCCAGGCTGGTGGTGGCGCACACCTTTAGTCCCAGCACTCAAAGGGAGGCAGAGGCAGGCTAGTGTGAGGCTAGCAGGGTCTACAAAGCTACACAGAGAAACCCTGTCTCAAAACAACAACAATAATAATATGATGGTGATAATGATGCAGGGAAGAGAGAGGAAATAAAGGGGAGAGTGCATGGCCAAACTGGGGGTCAAACCAGGTGATCTGGTGTAGGCATCCTTATGGTTCATCCTTGAATTTAACCTTTCTTCTCTTAAGTATCTGTGGCATGCACTCCATACCAGCGCACTGACTGCTAATTCTGCTTTCCCAAGCCAGGCTTACCAGGGAGCATTCTCTCCTAAAGGTGTTATTGACTTGTCTTGTCCTAGGTCTGCCTCCAGCAATGACAACAGTGATTGCCAGACCAAGTCTTCTGAAGGCCCCCTGGCCCTCTACCTGCTTGCCCTCAGGGCCAACTGCGAGTTCATTGGGAGCCGAAAGGGTGACAGGCTGGTGTCACAGCTCAAGTGGTTCTTGGAGAACGAGAAGAAAGCTATTGGTAAGGAGTTGCCATCTGAATGCATAGGGGACTCTGGGAGGGCTCCTCAAGTGGTTTTGTTGTTTGTAGTTTTGACACAGGCCTCAAGTTCATAATTGCTCTCAGGAGATGAGGTTCTTGGTGAGAGTCATAGCTTTGGGTTTTCTTTCCAGGCCTTTTCTCACTCCCCCTCTGTCCATATCAAGTCCACCTCTAGAAGTTCTCAGCCTTCCTAATGAGACCCTTTAATACAGTTCTTCATGCTGTGGTGACCCCCGACCATAAAATTTTGCTGCTGTGTTTTCCAATGGTCTTAGGTGGCCCCAGTTCCCTAACTTGGACCCAATCCCAACAGCTGGAAGAGTCTTTCAGTATAACCCTGTCCTTCATACAGCTTAAGTCCTGCAGGGGCCCCTCACCGTTCCGTTCCCAGCCCCCAGGTCCAGCCTGGCTTGCCTCTTATACTTTCCAGACATTGGTTTGGCTACTTCTCTGTGCTCCAGCCACACTGACCTTTCCTCACAAGTTTGGATATTCATGTGTGCGCCTCCATGCCCCTTCTAGACCATTCCTAGCTCTGTGCCCACTTCCCTTTACTTCAGAGTTACTTTTGTGACTCCTGTCTCGATTTCCCAGCTGTGTAAAGACTTCTGCTATGTGGCTCCAGGGATCTTGGGTCTCATTTCCGTGACAGTTGCGCTATTTCATGAGCATGTGTTGGGCTGTCTGACCTCCAAACACAGAGCCTGGCCTACCCTGGGACCTTAGCCAGGCTCTGAAGGAGTGTTGGACGCCACGGTCTCCATGGGACGTGTTGGAGCATGCAGACCATGGGGTTCCGTGAGCTTCTTGCTGGGAGGAGGCTGAAAGGGAAACGCCGCAGCCTCACGTGTCTCTTCACTCCTTGCTCTTCTAATCTCAGGACACAACCATGAAGGTCACCCCCACACCAGCTATTACCAGTACAGCCTCAGCATCCTGGCACTGTGTGTCCACCAGAAGCGGGTCCACGACAGCGTGGTGGGCAAGCTCCTGTACGCCATTGAACATGACCACCATGCCCGCCAGGGCCACCGCTCTGTGGGTGAGTGGACAGAGCCCAGCCCCCCTCCCCGCCCCCCCCAGCCCCAGGGGGAGGCCTCTATGACCCACCATTATGCTTACCTTTCCTTGGGAATCTCCTATCAGACCCCTTAGAAGTGAAATGGTGGGGGCTGAGAGCCAGCTTTGAAACCAGACTTGGATCCACCGCAGCTCCTCCACGCATTTACTGTAGGTCATCCCCAGCCCCATGGGATTCTGACCCCAGTTCCCTCACGAGCTCACTTTAGGTCATCCCCTATAAAATGACCTCCCGGCATCGTCTCAATAAAGGATGCATTGCAAGCAGAGGTCTTAGCATACTTTGTGTGTTCTTGGCACCATACAGTCTGGGATACTGATACCTGGTTTGTGATCTGGTTGCTCGTTGTGTGACCTTGGCCACCACCTCCATTTTTATCATCAGGATTCAAGGTTCCATGAGTGAGTAGGGAGGGCCTCTTTCCTGGATGGTAGGGTAGAGGAAGTGGGTAGTGGGGTGATGGTGTTGGGTAGGTGATTGCCCAGAGAGAAAAGCACACCAGGGCCTCTCTCAAGAAGAAGCTTGAACTGTATCAAAGACTTGAAGAGAAACACAGTGAACATGTTAAGGCTATATATAGGGAGTAGGAGAGCATAAAGTGTCCCAGGCTCTGTCTGCTCCTCGTGTCATTAAATCAGACCGCCTGGGGGTAGACAAGGCTGCTGTTAGCATCAAACCCTCTGAGGGGCAGGAGATGTAACCCGGTAGCACAGCACCCAGCATGCCTGAGGCCCTAAATCCAATACCCAACATACTAAGACAATATGAATGAATTAACAAAATGAAACTCCCTTTGTGATCCCAGTGTCATCCTGGTCTGGGAGCAGGTACTGTAGGATCCATCCTCTTGGGACTCTCTTCTTAAACCTGTCCATCTGACCTGCTGCTCTCAAGACACTCAGTGACCAACCAAACCAGTTTCTCTAGGCCTGAGAGGTTTCCTGGGGCTTAGTACATCCAATGTTTGGATCTGGGGAGTCCTGGATTGGTACCCCAAATGATCCTGAACCCCAAAACCCACCTAGCCCGGTCCCATCGAGCTATCCAGTTCATCCTAGGCCCTATCCCTCTAGACATAGAAGCCATGGCAGGCTTGGCCTTCACCTGTTTGGAGCGCTTCATTTTCAACCCTGATCTGAGACCACGAATCACCACGGCCATTGACACAATTCGAGAGAAGATCCTGAAGGCCCAGACCCCTGAGGGCAACTTTGGGAACATCTACAGCACCCCACTGGCACTACAGGTAGGGAAGAGACTCTGGATCCATGACCACTCAGCAAGTCAATGGAGGGCGGGCTGGTCAGAGACTGGAAGACCTGGCTCCTCCCCAGTGGCTGACTTACCTCCCCCTTCTCTTCCCCAGTTTCTGATGACCTCCCCTGCATCTGGGGTAAAACTGGGTGCAGCGTGCCTCAAGGCAAGTGCATCTCTGCAGGCCAGCATACAGGATGGTGCCTTCCAGAATCCTCTGATGATTTCCCAGCTGCTACCCGTCCTGAACCACAAGACCTACCTGGATCTTATCTTCCCAGACTGCCAGGCGCCCAGGGGTAACTGAGCCCTTTCTATTTCCTGAGTAATCTGCTATCTGTGGGTCCCAGTGATGGCCAATCAGTTGGCCCTGCTTGGCTAAGCCAACATGAGTATATAGGTCTGCATGGGATAGAGCAGCTAAAATGAGGTCGCAGCCTTTTGACGCTCATGGTGTGCAGACAGATACCAAATAAGCCCTGTATGTGATACCCACTGAGTGGTACCCACTGTGGAAATGTTTGAGCCAAGGGATGGAGAAGTGTATTAGCCAAGGTTCTCTAAAGGAGCAAAACTTATGGAATGATTTATTAGATTGACATGCACCATATGGTCCAGATAGTCCAACAGTGGCTGCCTCACTCTGGAGAGGCTGCGAATCCTAGAGTGTTTCAGTCCACGAGGCTGGATGGCTCAGCAGTCCCAGCATGGTGCAGAAGGCCCGAGGGATTCTGGAGAGCTGCTGGTCTTCCGTCTACATAGGAAGTCTGAAGAAGTTGGTCTAAAGTCGGCAAAGGAATGCTGTGATACAGGAGAGATGGACTTGATAGTGAGAGTGAGGGCAAGCAACCAAAACCTGCTCCCTTCATGCCCCTCATCTGGGCTGCCATCAGAAGGTGCTCCCGCATTTACAGACCGTCTTCCCTGTTTTAAATCATCTGGTCAAGAAAAATCTCCCCGGGATTACCCAGAGACTTGCATTTTAGTTGATTCTAGATCGGGTCAGGTTGACAAGTAAGATGAATCACCACAGGTCCATGAATGAATGAGTAGAGAGAGACACATTTGGTCAGTTTTGATCGCTAAGAGCCCCAATTCCCAGCACTGAATCCTTTGGGCACAATTTGGTGAAGGACTTGAAGCAGTGAGTGGGGTTTGCCGGAAAGTGGGAGGAGAGGGCAAATCAGCAGAGGAGACAAAAGCAAGCACACAGAAACCAATAGTGCAGGGGTGGAGGGCATTGTCTTGGAAAAGCATGGTTCTGGGAGAGTAAGCAGGAGTAGAAGATAAACGCATTGAAAGAGGTAACCAGGAAGCGACACCACAAATATAGAGAGTTCTCTGAGATGCAGCACAGTGGGTGGGCGGCAGGCAAGAGACACCAGCAAGGGCCATGGGGCTGGGGTTAGAGCCAGGTTTCACCTGGGCAGGTGTCCCTGTCATTAACCGAGCTGCTATGGCCGTGACCATGTGGGTCGTGGTGTCCAGGGGAAGAAAGGACTCATACCCAGGCTCCCCGTCCTCACGACAGCTACTCTTCCTTTCTCCCTGACATAGCCATGTTGGTACCAGCTGTGGAAGACCCTTTGCCAGCCCACATCCCAGAGGTCATCAGTGTCACACTGAAGGTCTCCAGTGTCCTGCCACCATACAAACAAACATTTTTTGTCCCTGCTGGGTCCTCCTTGGAAGATGTCCTGAAGATGGCTCAAAACACAGGAGGATTCACGTAAGACTCCCATCCCACTTCCTGGCCCTCTTCCCCATCCCTCCATGCTTGAAATGGCATCATGGGAAGGATGGGTGTTAAGTGAAGCTTTTTCTTTTGCTAGCCGCTTTGGTTTATCCCCTGCCAGTCGCCTGGGCTCTGCCGCTCCAGCCTGGTTCTAGAGCCGCATCAGTCCCAAATAAACACACAGGAGGCTATATTCATTATGAAGCTGTTGGCCTTGCTTGTTTCTAACTGGCTAGCTCTGACTTAAGTAATTACCCCATAATTGTTAATCTAAGTATGTCTCTTACCGGAGAGGTTTCCAGGCTTCCTACCCCAATGGCGGTTACATCTCGAACTCTCTTGTCTTTCTCTTTCCCAGAATCCTCCTCGACTCCTAGTCCCTCCTATCTAGGTTTTCTATAGGCTCAACAGTACTTTATTGACAAATAACAGGACTTCCCCAACAGATGGGGGAACAGACAAGTTTCTTGGGAGAAGTTCTGGCTTAATTTCTGCTTCTATACTCTTTTCTGGTCTGTTTTGGAACTGTGGTGTTTATCCTGTGGTGGGAGCTATGGGCACCACTATCATCAAGAGAGCTGGCTCTAGAAACAGAGAACCAGCCTAGGAACTTCATTTCTTATCCCCATCCCCACCCCAGCTAGTGAGCCAGTTAGTCAATCAGTGAGGGCGTGAGATATTCCCACTCCTCATAGGGCCAGTGTGAGGAGAACTCGGTCACTGGCAGACATGCTTTGTGTAGGTTTAATGCTTGGCACGCAGTGAGTACTCTAGGAAGCTTAATAGTATCAAATCACTTCAATAAAATCTTGCCATTAATAACCCTGATAAGGCGCCGGGCGTTGGTGGTGCACGCCTTTAATCCCAGCACTCAGGAGGCAGAGGCAGGCAGATCTCTGTGAGTTCGAGGCCAGCCTGGTCTACAAGAGCTAGTTCCAGGACAGCCTCCAAAGCCACAGAGAAACCCTGTCTCGAGAAAGCAAAAAAAAAAAAAAAAAAAAAAAAAACCTGATAAGGCAGACAATGTGCTTGTCCCCTTGAGACTTGACAAGCCTTGGAATGAGCATTTCTAAATTGCTGCTCCTTGCTGGGCCCTGGCCATACCTGGAGGTGGACCTGATTCACCAGAGGGAAATCTGGCTCAGAGAAGTTCAGTTCTTCCTGCCGGCTTTCCCTCTCCCCTGGATTCTTGCCTCATCTTGAGAAATTTCTGCAAGAGTTTCAGGGAGGGCTGACAGTGGGGACTGTTTGGTCATTTGGGCCAGGAACTCTCAGACCAGAGCTGCCACTTATTTATTTATTTGATTGTTTGCTTGCTTATTTATTTATTTTGTTTTGGTTTTCAAGACTGTTTTTCAGTGTAGCCCTGGTTCTCTTGGAACTCGCTCTGTAGACCAGGCTGACCCCGAATGCTGGGATTAAAGGAGTGTGCCTGACAATACCACTGTCTTTAAGGGACAAAAAAAATTGCCCTACCTCCCAGGTTAAGTGACGCCCCCACACACATCCCCAAGGAGGATTGAATCTAGAGCCTTTAACAGGGGAAACAAGAGCTCTACTACTGAACCATCAGATTTTAATTTTCATTTGTAAACAAGGTCTATACTAGTGACAGATCTTAATGCTATAACAAAAGACCTTACAAAATAAATTGAGGAGGGAAGGGCTGGTTTAGACTCAGCGTTCAGGGGGAAACAGTCATCATGGGAGAGGGGAGGGAGTGGTGGCAGGAGGCAGCTGTGCTCACAGTCAGGAAAGCACAGTGATGAATGCTCTTCGTCTGTTCTCATTTCCCTTCAATGCAGGACCCAGTCCATGCAGTGAGAACACCCACATTTGGAGTGGGTCTTCCCTCAGCTAATCTAGTCTAATCTAGAAAATACCCCTCAAACATACTTAGAAATCTGTTTTCATGGTGACTCTAAATCCCATTAAAGTGACCAACAAGACTAAGTATCATTCGTCTCAGTGAGTTCTCAGGCTGGCCTTGAACTTTCAACCCTGCAATAGCATCATGCCTATCCTAAGTTACTTCCATAAGGTTGTTTAGAGGTACTAACATGTTTACTCAGTGTAAAGTCCTTTCCTTTCCTTTCCTCCCCCACCCTCTGTCTCACTGTGTAGCCCTGGCTAGGCCAACACTCTCTACTTAGACTTGAACTCATAAAGATCCTCCTGCTTCTGCCTTCTGAGTGCTAGGATTAAAGTATCTCTAGACAGGTACAAATCCTAAGCAATTTTGCAAATTAAAAGGGAAAAATCATATATAAAAACAAATACACAGCCGGGTGTTGGTGGCTCATGCCTTTAATCCCAGCACTAGGGAGGCAGAGGCAGGTGGATCTCTGTGAGTTCGAGACCAGTCTGGTCTACAAGAGCTAGTTCCAAGACAGGTTCCAAAAACAATACAAAGAAACCCTACCTCAAAAACAAAACAAAACAAAACAAAAAACAAATACAATAGATGTAGCATATGTCTGTAATTTTGGTACTTAGAAAATGGGGGCAGGAAGATCATGTGTTTGAGGCCAGCCTAGGATGCACAACAAGACCATGTCTCAAAAAACAAAAAGGAAAAAAGGAAAGCATTAAAACCAACCAATAGCATCCAACCTGTAGGTATATGTCTGTATTGCCGGGCTGGGGACTTGAGCTTTCCTTGGGTTTGAGCCTCCACTGGGCCTGCTCACTGACTCCACTGGCCTGCTCATTGAGTCCATTGAGTCCACTCATTGACTCCATTGGCCTGCTCATTGACTCCATTGGGTCTGCTCACTGACTCCATTGGCCTGCTCATTGACTCCATTGGGTCTGCTCACTGACTCCATTGGGTCTGCTCACTGACTCCATTGGCCTGCTCATTGACTCCATTGGCCTGCTCATTGACTGCTTCCAAGATTCTTTCCCAGATATAGTGCTTCATTCACTAATTTTGCTATTGTTTGAGACAGTCTCATTCTAGTCCAGCTAGCCTAGAGTTCCCTATGTAACTCAGACAGGTGTCAAGCTTGCAGCTCTGATCCTGCCTTAGTTTCCTAAGTGCTGGGATTAGAGATGTAAGCCACCACCCTCAGTTTATTTATTACTAAGATTCCTCTGTTTCCTTTGGGTGCCAACAATCACACGTGAACATGTGTGCTGTGTGCTGTGTGCTCCTGGCGGGACTCTGTTAGCAGATGTGGAGATTACCCTACACTTCCAGGATTTGTGTTTGGATACCAAATCAAAATGAAGAAAAGATGGAATTTCAGGCTTTTTAGTTGGGTCACTGAGGACCTCTGAGAGATCATTGTGGACATCGACCAAGTTCTTCTGTTAGAGTGGGTGACTGCCTGAGATGAGTTCAAGGGCCAGACAGGGAGACTACATGGGAGGGAGGCACAGGACTTCACAGCAGACAGACAGACAGACAAACATGCAGAGAAGAGGCCCAGAGAAGCTAAGGAGGCCTCAGGGTTAAGGATTTTAATTTTTAGCCACTGAAAAGGGCTGTTTGTGGGCTGGGTTGTTTGGCAGTTAAGAGCTTTGTTTCCTGCAGAACCCAAGTTCAGTTCCCAGCATGCACATAGAGGACTCACAATTACCTGCCACTCCAGATTCAGGGATCCAAGGCTCCTCTTCTGACCCCCATAGGCATCTGCATTATAAAAGGGCTGTTGTGTGACATTCCCTAAATAATCCATTTCTACCAAATCTGCAGCTTCCACAATTCACAAATTCAACTGATTTGTATTAATCTGGGCCAAACACAGAGAGTTTTCCACAGCATCTACTATAGTAAGCTTTCTTTGTGGACTGTCTTTGGATTGCTAGCCTACAATTGACAGGGAGACTTACTAGTTATGAAAGCTTGGCCTTATCTTAGGCTTTTCCCTAACTAGTTCTTATAATTTAATTAACCCATATTTTTAAATCTACATTCTACCATGTGGCTCAGTTGCTTCTTCTTAGTATGGCACATCAGACTTGACTGGAGAAATCTCAAGCCCAGATTCCTCCTCTCAGTTACTCTCTCCCTCTCCCTCTCTCTCTCTGCTGGGAATTCCCACCTAGTCTCTCTTGCCTAGCTATTTTATTGTCCATTTAGCTCTTTATTAAATCAATCAGAAGGCACCTTAGGCAGAGACACATCTTCACAGTGTAAACAAATATTCCACAACAAGCTACATTGTATTAGATACTGTAAATAATGTTCACAGGTGTTTGTGTGAATACCCTACCAGTTTATATGACAGACTTGCACATTCTTGGATTTCAGTGTTTGTATGGGGCCTTGAATCAATCTTCTGGAGATGTGAAAGGGTGATTGTACTTTCTCTTTGCCTAAATCACCAAAGTGGGTTCCTGGTGTTTGTGTGCACTTGTGGTACTGGAGGTTGAACTTAGTACCCTACACATGGTGGGAGTGTGTCTACCACTAAGCCACACCCTGAGCCCTCTCCTTTTACTTCTTTTAAATGTTTCCCCTTGAGCTTGCTGTGTAGCTGAGGCTGATCTGAACCATCTAGTCCTTTTGCATCTCCTTCCCAGCTGCTGAGATTATGTGTGTGTCCTTCCACAGTCAGTTTATGCAGTCCTGGGGAGTCAGACTAAGGGCTTCGGGCACGCTAGGTTAGCTCTTGGCCAACTGAGCTACATCTCTGGTGCCCAGGTTAAAACAATCTGAGTCAGAGGTATTTTGATGTTCTATTGTGTCTTTAGATTTGAGACAGAGTTTTATAAATTGCCAGGCTGGTCTTGTTCTATAGTTCAGCAGGCCTTAAGCTCTCAGTGCTCTTGCCTTAGCTTGGGAGGAGAGGGGAAAGTCATGACCTGCAGTGAGATGGACGGGAGGCTGTGAAAACCCCCATAATCCAAAGCAACCTGGAGGTGGAAAGGGTTTGCATGACTTACAGATTACAGACCGTCATAGAGGAAGGCCAAGGCAGGAAACAGGATCACCTGCACTTGGGTAGGGTGTGTGTATACTGCCCACAGTCAATCATTAATCAAGACAATGCCCCAAGGACATGTCCACTGGCCAATCTGATGGAAGCAATCTCTCAATTTCCTCTTTCCAGGCATCTCTAGTTTGTTTCAAGCTGATTCAAACTAGCCAGCACAGAGGGACTAAGAGAATGGCAGCCTGAGGGGAGGCGGGTTTCTGCTGGTGTGGGTGAATACCCTGCTTTCCTTCTTGGGGACAGCAGCTACCTTCTCTCTTTACTGTTCTATTTTCTAGGTATGGGACACAGCTCTCCTTGTCAGGCCCCTACTTGACATCTGTACTGGGGAAAGAAGTTGGGGATCGAGAATTCTGGCAGCTCCTCCGAGACCCTGATACCCCCCTGATGCAAGGTGAGTCTGGTGGCCTGTGCCTTGGATACCTCCTACCCAAATCCCGACCCACAGTGAGGTGAGGCTGCATCAACCAGGCTAGCCCAGTCTTTCCCCTGAGCCTGCCTTGGCCACAGCTTCAGAAACCCACCCAAATGGGGCAACTCATACTCAAAGTTAGATTCAAAATATTTCATTGAATTCTTGGAATTTTATGGAAGTAGTTATGGAGAATCCAAGAAACAGGAAAGATTAAAAGTCTACCTAGAATTTAAGTCCTAAATTTTAAAAGAGATTTTTTTAGAAACTTTATTTTTGATTATATACATGTATGTATAAACACACACACACACACACACACGTGCACATGTGAGAGAATGTATGCGGAGATTGGTGCACATGAGTGCAGGCTTGGATCCTTGGTGGTTGTGAGTTGCCTGATGAGAACCAAACTCTGGTCCTCTGGAAAAACAGGCAGTGCTCTTAATCACAGAGCCATATCTCCAGCCCAAGTCTTTTTAACTTCTGATAGATTTTCTTATATCTACAAGAAATATGTACAAAGCTCATTTTCATTTTAAAATGGAATTATATTCTACAATACTATCCAACAGATATAAAATGTCAGATATATGTATATTTTTCTAATATTACATGCTATATCTTATTTAGCCCACTATATCTCAGATACTATCACTTAAGAATGTAAAATCCCAATGTAAAATCACTAATGACATATTTACATGCTTTTTTTTAAAGTTTATATTTTGAGCATGTAACCTAGCTAGCCTTGAACTCAAAATCTTCATGTCTCAGCCTCCTGGGATTAACAGTGTGTCCTCACCACACTGGCTTTGAAGGCTTCTTCACCAAATCACCTCCCAGTCACCTCCTGGTATCATCACTTTTGAGTTAGATTTAAGCACACGGATTTGGGAGGGGGGACACAGATAGTCACACCAAAGCTTGTTTGCTTAAAAGGAAATCTTCCTTGGTGGTGCACACCAGGCATCAGGATATTGGGGCAGGAAGATTACTGTGAGTTTGAGGCTAGCCTGGTTTATATAGCCAGGTCCTGTCTCAGCCACTGTCCCTAAAAAAACGAATCAGCAAACAGAACTGTCTCTGGACTAACTGGGTTCTCAAGGGACCCTTCTAATCCCTCCGAGTTTGTTGATAGTATTTCTAAGTTGTTAATTTTGTGGAGCTCGGGATGAACTTGGGCCTCAGGCCTGATGATCTTCCACTAGGCAGATAATCTTTAACTGAGCCACACCCAGCCTGGATGCTGATTTTATTATCCTCTTATTTCCTCCAATGAGAATGTGGTGTTCACCATGCTGGTGAGTGACAGAGCTGGGTGGGACTTGAAGCCAGGTATCCGATGGACTGACAGGTCACTTCTGGGACATTCATAAATGACACCCCCTGGACCACACTGAAACAGTCCCTCTGTCTGACAGTTCTGTTTTGAAGATGGTGACCCTGCCAAGTAGGGGCTGCCCCAGTTTCTTTCATGCTGTCATCTAGCTGTTTCTCCCACATCTACCCACTGAGGGTGCCCTCACTGAAGCATGCACCTGCTAACTCCATGTCTACCCACTGGGGACACTCTGCTGCATGAGCCTGCTAATTCCATCTCTACTCACTGGGGGCACTCTCTGCTGTATGGCCTTGTTAGTCCACATCTATCCACTGGGGGCACTCTCTGCTGTATGGGCTTGTTAGTCCACATCTGTGCACTGGGGGCACTCTCTGCTGTATGGGCTTGTTAGTCCACATCTACCCACTGGGGGCACTCTCTGCTGTATGGGCTTGTTAGTCCACATCTATCCACTGGGGGCACTCTCTGCTGTATGGGCTTGTTAGTCCACATCTATGCACTGGGGGCACTCTCTGCTGTATGGGCTTGTTAGTCCCACATCTACCCACTGGGAACACTCTTTCTGCTGCCTAATCCTGCTAATTACTTGTCTACCCACTGGGGGCACAGTCTCTGCTGTATGGGCTTGCTAGTCCCACATCTACCCACTGGGGGCACCCTCTCTGCTGTATGAGCCTGTGGCCTGAGGGATCCTGCCAAGGCTGGATCAGAGTCTCCAGCTGGCTCTGCACAGCTCCCAGCTTCCCACCACCAAACCCGGAGTGGGTCTTACAGATGTGACTTCAGGGTAGAGGTCACTTGATGTGGCTGGGGGTGGGACATTGCCTTGCTAACTCCTTTGTTCCATTGGTTTCTGCAGGCATTGCTGACTGCAAACCCCAGGATGGGGAAACCATTGAGCTTCGGCTAGTTAGCTGGTAGCCTTGGGCTGCCTACTGATGTCATTGGACCCTGCTGCCACCTCAAGTTTACTTGGAGCAATGTCCCCCAGATCACCTCCAATATCTCCACAAAGAGGTTCCTAAGCCACTGCCTCCCTGGAAGCAGGAAGGATAAAATCTCTCATAGGGAGGCTGCCAGTTTAAGTCTAGCCCTGCCTGACCCCAGGGGTCTCTCATGAAAAGGCTGCCCTTGACCGCCTCCATAAGAAGTCTGTGGGGCTCAGCAGGGCCCTCCAATATAATTAAAGCCTTGATTTCCCTTACGTGGCTGCCATGTTCTGGTGTCTCGTGGTCACTACTTGGGGGCAAGGAGCAGAGATGTTTGGGGAATCCAGCAGGACTTGTGAGTACTCTCCTGTGCATCAGGGGTGAATTGGCACAAGAAGAGCTGACTACACTTTCTAAATACCGAACAGTACAGCCCTGTGGGGTTTGCTCAGGGTTTTCATCTCTCACTGGAGAGGGAACCAACTGTAAAAAAGTGAAAGTGACTCACCCAAGGTCATGGCAATGGCACCGCAGGAGGCGAGGTCGGGCAGCAGACGTGACTTAGGGGACAGATGCTGCTACTGACTCCTGATGGGTGGAAGATATTTGCTGCGAACTGGGCTGTAGCTGAGCAATAGAGCACTTGCCTAGCATGCACAAAGCCTTACGCATGTAGCTGTGGCTGGCTTTGAACACACCGTGCTCATATCTCAGCCTCCTGGGATTACCAGTGTGGATACCTAGCTTTGAGACCTAATCACTTCCCAACCACCTTCTAATATCATCCCTTTGGGTTAGATTTAAGCACATGGATTTTGGGGGACACAGTCACACGATTTAAAAGGAAATCTCCATTGGTGGTGCACACCTGTAATCCCAGCCCTCAACAGAGAGGGCTACATCCCAGAACTGCATGACATAAGAACTAAACAATATGTAATGGGCAGGTAAATGGTTCCCTTGTTACAGTACCCTGCCTAGCACGAACAAAGCCCTGAGTTTAGTGCCATATAAAGTCGGGCTTGATGGAGCACACCTGAGATACCAGTCCTTGGGAGGCAGAGGCAGCAGCATCAGAAATTCAAGGTCATTCTCATCTACATGAGGATTTCGAAGCTAGCCTGGGATACAGCTCTGTCCCAAAACAGAGATGTATACGTGTGTGTGTGTGTGTGTGTGTGTGTGAGTGTGTATGTATGTGTGTGAGTGTGTGTGAGTGTGTATGTGCGTGTGTGTGAGAGTGTGTGTATGTGAGTGTGTGTGTGTGAGTGTGTATGTGAGTGTGTGTGAGTGTGTGTGAGTGAGAGTGTGTGTATGTGAGTGTGTATGAGAGTGTGTGTGTGTGTGTGTGTGTGTGTGTGTAGGAGCTGAGGACCAAACCCAGAGCCTTGTGCTTGCTAGGCAAGTGCTCTACCACTGAGCTAAATCCCCAACCCCACAAAGCTATATTTGCCCGAAAGATCCCACCCATCCACCTTGCCAAGGGCAATCAAAAGCTTCAAGTTAGGACTTGCCTGCCTCACCTCTACCCGAGGGCCTGCACCTCTTCCTCTTTTTCTGGGTGTGGTCAGCTACAACTGTTGTCACCTCCAATTCCAGCCTCCAGGTCCCTCTTTCTGAGTTTATGTCCTAAAGCAGGTGTTTAGTCTGGCACACTCAGCAGGGACCCAGAGAAGTCAGGGATGAGAAGAAAGTCATATTTCGTGCATGGCCTCACCATGAACTCAAAAGGTCCCCTTCCCAGGCAGAGCAGCCCATGTGTCATCTACTTCTGACTCAGACCTCTGGGGTTGTGCTCTGGTTCATGTGTTTGTGATTGTGGTTTCCTTATAAGTCACATACAAGGCACTAGAGCCACAGTATAGAAATAATCTAGTCAGGGTTGAAACCATAAGAAAAAAAACACATACCTCAACATCTGCATCTTGACCACTCCAGATGGGTTCCCTTTTTGCTTCCCAGACTCCCTCAAAAGTGTTTTCTGCACCGCCTGCTTTGCAGAAGAGCCGCTGGGCTCCTCAACAGCAGGGTTCAGATTTGAGGGTGCCATGGGAAGCACAGGCTGCTTGTAGACTTTGAGTGGACCCAGGGGTCCCTGCTTCAGTGATGCGCTCCTTGAATCTGGGCCTCTGCCCCTCTGTTCTCCTACATGAAAATGCCCTCCTGAGATCCCTGTCATCTGTGCAGCTGAGACAGGTTAAAATGGGCTTCCAAAGTGGGCAGTGACGCATGCCTGTAATCTCAGTGCCCCAAAAGCGCACACACACCACAAATAATAAACTGTTGTGGTAATCCTTCGTCAGATCCACCAACCCCCAAATAACGACATGGAGACTTCTTAAACTATTTTTGAAGGGATTTAAGTATCCTTTTAATCATATAAGCAGTTCACACTCATGCATTGACAATCACATTTCATATATACCGGTGTGGCCACACCACACATTCAGAACATACATACATCTTTCGGTCATCCTTTTTCCCTAGGTCATGATTAGTCTGTTGAAATGAAACTTCCTTAATTGAAATCTATGTAAAAAAACAACTCCAGCCAATCCTTGAACTAAAAAGGTTAAAAAGTCCTGTATGCCCCTCATCATTCCTCCATTTGAGCTACAGTTAGGGGATACAGCCGTACCTAGTCCTTGTAACTCTGTAGATGCAAGGTGGAGAGGCCAGGCTTTTGGCCAAAAGTTTTTAGAGATGACTCACAAATTTGACCTTAAATGCAAACTTTTTCCATTCCATATCTTTTCCTTTTTCTTTACTTAATGCCAGTACTTCGTTTACTGTTACCAATTTTTTTTGGGGGGGGTTTCGAGACAGGGTTCCTCTGTATTTTTTTGGAGGCTATCCTGGAACTAGCTCTGTAGACCAGGCTGGCCTCAAACTCACAGAGATCCGCCTGCCTCTGCCTCCCGAGTGCTGGGATTATGTTACCAATTTTTTTGATTCACCTTTTTTTTCCGAGACAGGGTTTCTCTGTATTGTTTGGAGGCTGCCCTGGAACTCGCTCTGTAGACCAGGTTTGAACTCAAGGGATCAGCCTGCTTGTGCCTTCCGAGTGCTGGGATTAAAGGCGTGTGTCACCAACACCCGGCTATTTACCCATTTTCAATCCATCCTCCAACCGAGGATGTTTCCTCAAGCAAAAGCCTTAAGATTTACACAATCCACCCTCCAACTGAGGGCGATCTCTCAGGTTCCCCTCTTTCTCGACCTTTGTCAGGCAAAGGCCTAGAGATTTAATCCAATCCACCCTCCAACTGAGGGCAACCTCTCAGGTTCCCCTTTCTTTCCTGACCTTTGTTGGGCTAAGGCCTGGAGATTTAATCTAGGAGACATGAAATATTTTTTAATAAAACAGATATTCCCCTTTAGGAGGGGGAAACTCAGAATGTTTAGTTTCTAACTTTTTAATCTCTCACTGGCAGCAGCCGCTCCCAATGTACTATTGGTGCTATAAAAATCGATGAACACACCAGGCGGTGGTGGCGCACGCCTTCAATCCCAGCACTCGGGAGGCAGAGGCAGGCGGATCTCTGTGAGTTCGAGGCCGGGCTGGACCGATAGCCTCCAAAACAATACAGAGAAACCCTGTCTCGTAAAAAACCAAAAAAAAAAATTCGATGAACAGGGAGCTGGAATGACTAACTGGCAGCTGGAATGACTTACCTGAGTGTTCAGCAATGGTTGGACCATCTTTATCATGGTGAGCATTCCTAGTATCCGGAGCAGTATTGGGGTCAACATGCCTGATGCCCTGTTTGGGGACCCAAATGGGCTTCTCACTTCCTGGAGGGAAAACACAAACAGCCCCTCGGACCCTAGCTAGTAGGGGAGTGGGTGGCTGCCATTTTCCTGTAATCAAGTCCTTCCATCTGACCCATGCCAAGGACTGGGAGGGTTTGTTCCAATGTCTCTCCATAGCAGACAAATTATTACGGTCTATGGTCAAAAAATTTAAAATGTAAAGTATGGTGGATAACTGAATATTGGGGGAGGTAACATACTCCCCCTTTTTTATTTTCTTAAAATACTGTTTGAGAGTGGCATGGGTGCGCTCCACAATAGCCTGTCCCGTGGGGTTGTGAGGAATACCAAAAGAATGGACAATGTGATGTTCCCTGCAAAAGGCCGCAAAGCGATTGCTGGCATAGGCAGGGCCATTGTCCTAGGGCATCAGGAATGCCCATGTAGGCAAAGGCCTGCAGGCAATGAGAAATAACATCTTTAATCTTCTCTCCTGAGTGGAGAGGGGCAAAAATCAGTTTAGAATACGTATCCACCGAGACATGCATGTATTTTAATTTCCCTGCCTGCGGCAGGTGAGTGACATCCATTTGCCAGAGATGGTTGGCCCTGAGGCCCCGGGGATTTACCCCCTCATTGGGAGAATTATGATAAGGGGCACAATCAGGGCACTGAGAGGTAATCTGTGTAGCTATGGATAAGGGGCACCCAGTGTGAAATTTAATGGAGCGGGCATTTAGATGATACCACTCATGGAGCTGGTGGGCAAGCTGCTCCTGAGTAAATAAGACCCTAGGGCGGGTCAAGGAGTCAGCAAATTGATTGCCCTGGGCAAGGGGTCCTGGAAGGTTAGTATGTGCACGAACAAATCCCACATAAGCAGGGTAGATGTGCTGCCAAATAAGATGTTGTAGCTGAACTAATAAAGAACGAACCTGAGAGGTTGGAAGAACATATGGAGAAGTTTCTAAAGGTCTAACAATGTTGGCAACATAAACACTATCAGTATATAAATTAAAGGGCTCTCCCTCAAACATTTGGAAGGCCATCAAGCAAGCAAACAACTCGGCGGCTTGTGCTGACATCTGTCCTATGGGTACCCTCTTCTGCACCTGAGAAGAAACCACTACCGCGAAACCCTTGGAGGAGCCGTCTGTAAAGTCTGAGCAAGCTCCAACTAGAGGGTTCTCCTTTAAAATCTTGGGAAAATCACAGGGTGTTGTTTAAAAAAAGACATCAAGGGGCTATTGGGATAATGGTTATCAAACTTGGCGCCTGTGGATGTAATAAACAGGGTCCACCCATCATGAAAGATCTGTAGATGTTTCACCTCCTCCTTACCATAAGGAAGGATAATTTTATCAGGACTCTTTCCAAAGGTTTGGATGCTAAACTTGTGTGCCTTCCACAACAATTGTAAAATGAGATCATAGTAAGGGGTCACTACCTTCTTAGGGGAGGCTGACAAATATATCCAATAAATAGGACCAGTCTGCCAAAACACAGCAGTGGGCGAAAAGCCAGATGAAAGTACAACCAGAACAAGGGGCTGCCCATAATCTATGTGCTGAAGGTGGGCTTGCTCTATCCTTTTTTTTTTTTTTTTTTTTTTTTTTTGGTTTTTCAAGACAGGGTTTCTCTGTATTGTCTTGGAGGCTATCCTGGAACTAGCTCTGTAGACCAGGCTGGTCTCGAAGTCACAAAGATCTGCCTGCCTCTGCCTCCTGAGTGCTGGGATTAAAGGCGTGTGCCACCAACGTCCAGCTTGCTCTATACTTTTTAACAACAATTGTAGGGCATCCCTGGCCTCTGGGGTAATCTGTCTAGGGGAAGTTGGAGCAGGATCCCCAGAAAGAATATCATAAATGGGTTTAAGAGGCCCTGTTTTAATAGAAAGAGAAGGGCGAAACAACAGCACCTCTCCCAAAAATCTCTGCCAGTCATGAAGCGTTTTTAAATTTGAACAATCAATTTGGAGTCTTTGTGGCCGGAGGCCAGTTTGTTGAATTTGATGACCCAAATAAGTATAAGGGGGTCTCTTTTGGATCTTTTCAGGAGCCATAATTAATCCGCAGGCCTCAAGAAGCTCCTGTAGCTCTGCAAAGGCTATGTAACATTGTCTTTCTTTGGCCTCAGCCAAAAGAATATCATCCATGTAGTGGATAATGTAAAGATCAGGGAACTTATGTCTGAGGGGATCTAAACAGGCAGCTACATAAATCTGGCATATAGTTAACTATTAGCCATCCCTTGGGGGAGCACCACCCATTGGAAGTGAAGGGCAGGCTCCCTAAAGTTAATCGCAGGAAGGCTAAGCGCAAACCCAGGACTATCTTGAGAATGCAAGGGAATAGAAAAGAAGCAATCCTTCAAGTCAATGACAATCAAATGCCAGTCTCTAGGAATGGCCACAGGCACGGGCAAGCCAGGCTGCAGAGCCCCCAGAAGCTGCATGGTCGCATTCACGGCCCTCAGGTCTTGTAGTAACCTCCATTTCCCTGAAGATTTTTTAATTACAAATATCGGGACATTCCAGGGGGACGTGGAAGGGACCAAATGACCCGCCTCCAATTGTTCTTGAACTAGCTGGTGAGCTGCCCGAAGTTTCTCCGCTGGTAAGGGCCACTGTTCCACCCATACCGGATCATCTGATAGCCATGTGATGGGTATGGGGGTTGGCAGTGCAACAGTGACCCTCATCAAAAATGACCAAAACCCTTGCTATCCCCTGTAGCCCTGGTATCCAAAGGGAGGGATGCCGCTGGGCAAACCTCTCCCTGTTCTAGTTTACCTAGTCCCCTCCCGGGACTCCAGTCCTTCCCTTGCATCATCTGGGGGGGGCCTGCTTTTGGACTTGGGTGCCTGGGTGGTGAGGAATTGCCGTGCCTGCTGCGCAGCCTGTATCCGAGAATGTGCGGAGGGCGTTGGGATTGATGACACAGAGACCAGTCAACGATGTAAAGAAAACCTTAAGCAGGCCCCAAAAAGGCTCAAGAAAACTTCCCAAGAAAGGCTTCCCTCCAGAAAAGCTTCTGCTCCCTGTCTTACCCTTGGCTGGTTCTGCCCTGACACCAGAGACTGTGTTGGGTGTGTCAGAAGAGGTGCTTAGTCTTTGGAAAAGGTCGAGGTCAGGGTGTTCCCGTGGGCAAGCCCTTTTCAGGAACTTACTGCCCTGGGCATTGTATTGTTTTTAGTAAACATGTTTTTAGTAAACATTGTCTTACATGGTCCCATGCTGATGGGGAAGTGGGTCTCTGGCCAAGGTCTGGTGTCCCCACAAGGGCTCCCACGGGCATCGGACTCATCAGAGGCAAATGTGATAATGTAGATTCCTGACTCATCCGAAACAGAGGTATAATTCAGGTCTCCAGTGGAACTGGTTTATTTTCACCTTCGATGGTTATGAAAGGATTTGGAAAGCTTATGGCCATGCGAGTTTATGACCACCAGAGGGTGCTGCGGGCCGAGTTACACAGTCCCGTTTGCGATCTAGGCAGGTTGTCATCCAGGATTGTCAGTCAGATGACAGAGAGAGGTGATGCCTGTCCAGGTGGGCGGGAACTTCCCCAGAAATCCAAATACTGAAAAGAAGCTAGGTTCCAGAATGGGGCTTGATTCTTGATCATCTGGAGCAAGCTGGGCTTGGACTAGGTCTCTGGGATGAGCAACTTACCCTATCCTGAATTCAGAGAACAACTATTTTTCGGATGGGAAATCTGAGAACCATCTAGGAGCACGGTCTTAGTGGCAGCTGCTCTGCCTCTAGGCCCAGGATTCTGTCGTGTGGCCCCAGGAAGTCCAACTGTGAGTCACCTTGGAGTACTCAGGGAGCGGCACACGGGGTCAGCTAGCCCGATTTGGATGCCAGTCCGCAGTACCCTGCTTCTCGAAGCTGTGGTTAGCCGGGGTGATTCATTTCCCCTTCTGCTGGTCCAGAGCGGAGCCGCCCTGGCCTGGAAGGGGAGAAAAGAATTGGAGGGGAATAGAGAGTTAAATTAGATGAGGTAGTCTTAAGGGACCACGTGAAGACCTTTGTGACCTAGGATCAGGTGGTCCTTCTCCTTCTTCTAGACAGTGTTTCTCTGTAGCTTTGGAGGCTGCTTGGAACTCGCTCAATAGATCAGGCTAGCCTCGAAATCACAAATATGCGCCTGTCTCTGCCTCCCGAGTGCTGGGATTAATGGCCCGGCCAACGCCCTACTTATTAACCACAGCTTTGGGACATCTCCGCAGGATACCCCAGGGTTTCCAGAGCTGGATACTGGTTGTTAAGAGAAGGTCTTCTTGGAGCTGGAGACCGTCCAGATTCCGGCTGGTGGCGGGTAAGGCCAACACTTCCCACTGAGAGACTGCGCCTGCAGCTGCGCAAACCGAGCCAGGAGGCGCAAAGGCTGTGGGCGGGGCTAGACGTCCTCGGGACTCGAGGCGAGGCCTTGTGGGGCGGGGCCGGGTTGAGCCCAACTTTCCGGGTGGAGCGCCGCTTCGGTAGCCGCGGAGAGGGCGGGGTCGGGAGAGCGGAGCGGAGCGGCTCGAGCGCGCAAGGCCGGACTAGAGCCCCGCGCTCGATGCTTCCAGATCCAGGGCGGGAGCCTAGTCGCAGCCAGAGCAACCGAACAGCCGCAGCCAGGCCGAGCTCGCAGATCCGCTCCCACCGACCTGTCCGCTTTTATTCCCCGCGCTGTCGGAGGCGAGGGGGACTGGGAGGGAAGCAACTGCGACCTTCGCTCCCACGCTCGGAACGCGATCGCCCCTGCACTGTCTGGTCACGGCCTGAGCACCAAATACACAGGAGGTCGGGGTCAGTGTCTCCACCCTGACGGTTCGGGGACCGAAGAGGAAAAAAAAAGCCAAGAGAATTCCGTATAAGAGCATCGCGTGAGCATGGGGCGTGGAGGAGAGTGAAGATTTCCGAGGTACCAGGAGTTACGCGGCCTGGGTGGGTACCAGGCAGTCCAGCATCTCAGCAGCCACTCTCTCCCCTTCTGCCCTGAGGGAGCTACAATTATCCGGTGGCTCGGATCTAGCACTTGAAAGCGGTGCTCAGGACCTGACCCAGCCAGTCCCTGGAAAGCCTGCCTCCTGCCCCAGTCTTTCTGGTGCGGATGTGCCGCTGCCCACTGGAGCGCCATGAAGGCAGGATGACCTCAGCCGAAGCAGTGGCTGTGGCTGGAAGTGCCCGGGAGCATGGCCGCCCCAAGTGGCCTCCTGACAACCCTCAGGTCCTTGGGCAGCCTGCTCGAGCCAGAGTGGTTGTGGCAGCCCTGGTGTGGCTGTTGGCAGGAGCCAGCATGTCAAGCCTCAACAAGTGGATCTTCACAGTGCATGGCTTTGGACGGCCCCTGCTACTCTCAGCATTACACATGTTGGCAGCTGCCCTGGCATGCCACTGGGGGGCCCGGCGGCCCATGCCCCGCAGCATCCAAGGCAGAGTGCTGCTGCTCAGCCTCACCTTTGGTACCTCCATGGCCTGCGGCAACGTGGGCCTGAGCACTGTACCCTTGGACCTAGCACAACTGGCCACCACCACCACACCACTGTTCACACTGGCCTTGTCTGCGCTGCTGCTTGGACGAAGACATCATCCCCTGCAGTTTGCTGCCATGGGCCCACTCTGCCTGGGAGCTGCATGCAGCCTGGCCGGAGAGCTCCGGGCACCCTCAGCTGGCTGTGGCTTCTTGCTAGTAGCCACCTGTCTCCGAGGCTTCAAGTCTGTTCAACAGAGTGAGTACCTGGTCTCCGTCTGAGGAGGTGGGGTGTGTGGCTGGGATATTCTTGTGAAGTGATCCTCTTTGACAGATAAGGCTCAGAGAAGTCAGGGAGTTCAGGCTTCAATCTTATGTATTAGAGGCATAGTTAATATGCACACACCTGTAATCCTAGCACTTGGGAGGCAGAGGCAGGTGGATCTCTGTGAGTACAAAGCTAGCCTGGTCTACAGAGTGAGTTCTAGGACAGGCTAAGAAGCTACACGGAGAATCCCTGTCTTGAACCCCTCCTAAAAAAAATGAGTTGTTGAAGTGTTCTATAACTTGAGAAGCCTTTTGTCCCGTTGGATGCACCTACAGCCTCTCCTGGAGTCAATCAGGAACTTTATTATCCCCAGGTGACAGAGGTGGAGTCTCAGCCTGGCCCCTGGCCCAGTGAACAGCAGAGGCAATGTTTGAACAGACTCCAGGCTGCCCAAACTACGTGTTCTAAGATTATGAACTCAGAAGGCCAGAAGTGTGGACTAGGGAAGAGGGAAAGCCGTCAGGAATGGTTTCCGGTTTATCGAAGCCAGGGAAGCCTTTACGGGGCGCTACAGTGTGACAGGCCTGATGCTGTGTTGATCATCAGTTGTCACAGCCATTCCCACCTTCCTCTTCACATTACCAGTGATAGCACTGATAAGAGAGTATTTTATAAGCCGGGCGTTGGTGGCACACGCCTTTAATCCCAGCACTCGGGAGGCAGAGGCAGGTGGATCTCTGAGTTCGAGGCTGGGCTGGACCGACACCCTCCAAAACAATACAGAGAAACTCTGTCTCGTAAAACCAAAAAAAAGTATTTTATGGTAAGGGGAGGCTGCTTTGCTGTGAAGTTCAGGCTGGCCTTGAACTTGTGATCCTCCTGTCTAAGCCTCCCAGCTGCTACCAAAGAGGTTTATGATTGGCTCCCAAGAACTCCCAAGTCTAGTCTGTGTGACTGGGTGCTGGCTGTATTGGGAGTGGGCAGCTGGACTCAGAGCAGAAGTAGGTATAATTCCCCGCCCAGTTCCAGTATGCCTAGAGTGGGAGCTGACTTCCTGTCTGAGCAGTTGAGGGGCATTTGAGTCATAGCCCTACCCTCCCTCCACCTTAATGCAAGGAAGAAGTAGGAGACTCGAGAGTGGAAAGCGAGGCTCCCAGGGGTGACGGTGAGCTGTGGTTGGGGCAGCCTGCAGCTGAGGAATGGTGAAGTGAGGGCTTTGCCCTGCCTGGCATCTTCGACTGGGACCCAAAGGTCCTGCCCCCATCTTCCCAGGCCACAGGCAGGGTGAAAGCCCAGTCTATTTTAGCCCTCAGGTTACCTGAGCTGGGCCTTGAGTTAGCTCAGGGAAACCCGACCCTGTAGGACCTTCCTGAGCAGGGACACCAAGCAGAGAAGGCCCCAGCTTCCAGCCCCACACTGCACCTGCCAGAACCAATTACTCATACTGGGCTCTGGGTAGCCCCTGTCTGTAGGAGGGGCTGTGAGTAGCCAGGCACCAGGGCATTCAGGCATGCCCATAGTGGCATGTTATTGACATCATTCAGGCATGCCCATAGTGGCATGTTAGTGACATCCAGTCACCTCTTGGCTAGTGCCAGCTTCCTTCTTCCGTCTCAAGACTCAGCTTCCTACACTGAGTGTTGGGTATCCTCTGCTTTGCCAGCTATGGGGTGTTCACAGCTATTGATCACACATCTGCTTCCCAACCCAACAGGCTTTGGGGCATCTCTGTGTCCTCAGCACCTGGCCTGGGCCTGGCATAGGGAAGAAATTCAAATTATGTCTTTAATTGATGGTTTTGATACCAGTTGACGTCAAGTTGGTAAACTGATTGGGCTGCATGGATTGGGGCCAAGTGCTGAGGCCCAAGTGCTGAGGAGGGTGCTTAGGAAACCCGAGGTTCCGCTCACAGAAGTGGGAGCCTCACTAAGGTGAGGGAGGGGACTGGAGCCAGGGTTTGAAATGGATTTTTTTTTTACACGAGACAGGGTTTCTCTGTATTGTTTTGGAGGCTGTAGGTCCAGCCCGGCCTCGAACTCACAGATCTGCCTGCCTCTGCCTCCTGAGTGCTGGGATTAAAGGCATGCCCAGCTGGAATGGATTTTTTAAAAGAGGAAGTTTCTTTTTACTAGAGGCTCTTGGGCCAGATTCAGACTAGAGTGTGCAGTCTTTACACTCGGCTAGCTCCTTCCCTGACAGTAGGGAGTAGGAGTCCAGAAAGAGGGCTCAGGCAGCCACAGCCAGCCTCTTCTGTCCTACATGGCCAGCTGCAGGCTTGGGGCTGTGTGGAGTGGAGCAATGCCACCCTCATATCCACAGGCAAGGAAGAGAGTCGCCAGCCTGCTGAGTCTGTTGTCATCTGTCCACCTGTGTTTCACAACCTCGTTTGGTCCTCATCCACTGAGCCCCCAGCGAGGGAAGTGCCACACTTTCCAAGAGAGAAACTGTAGAACACGGTGGGCAGCACGGGTGTGGTGTGGGTTCGAGGGAGCTGTGCAGCCACAGCGATGACTACAGAGCAGAAAAGGACGTCCTGGGACGGGACACAGGCTGTGCTGGAGCTAGGATGCTGAGGATGTACACTGAGTGTTCCTCTCCATATGCTGTCTATGAGGCGTTTGAGACTGAGAGGTGGCTATGTCACACATCCAGGGAAGGGACAAAGTGGGGAGAGGCCAGGAGGCGAGGGTTTACAAATAGGTGGCTGTTGTGTGTCTGCAGCAGGGGTAATGTGTTCAGAATCTGACTTGAATGTGCCTATGAAGCGGGTGTGTACCTGCAATCCCAGTACTCTGGTAAGATCATGAGTTATAAGCCAGCTGGGGCTACAAAGTCAGACTCTTGTCTATAAGCAGAAAAATAAAATACCCTTTCAGCCTGGCATGGTGGCACATGCCTGTAATCCCATCACTTTAGAAACTGAGGTAGGAGTGTCACACAGCTAGGCTAGTATGGGCCAACTTGGGATCTGTAGAGTGTTCTCGACCAGCATGAGCTACATGGAGAGCCCTTGTCTCAGGACCAGTGAGGCATTTTAGTGGGTGAAAGCATTTGCTACACAGATGACCTGAGCTTGATGCTCAGAACACACAGTGGAAGGAAAGAACCAAGTCCTGAAAGTTGTCCTGTGACTGCCATGTTCCACATATACACATACATAACACAGATTGCATACATGTGATATACATACATGTGATATACATACATCATACATCATGTGATTTTTTAATGTTAAAGACCCTGTCTCAACCCCCCTCAAAGAACCTAAATGAAATGCCTTGGGGTGGGGGCTGGGACTGTGAAGCTCAGCCATAGAGAGCTTTCTTAGTTAGGGGAGGCCCTGGGCTGGATCCTGAGCACCAGCAGGAAACTAAACAACCATGCAGATGGTCCGGCAAGGGTGGGGTTACTGTGGAGTCAGCACAACAGGCTAACTAACTAACGTTGGGGAGTTAAGTCACTTCTGCCATAGGCATCATTGCCCTTCTGTGGGCCTGAGGGGGAGGGGGAGGGGGACAGGAAGCAGGACAGGTGCAAGGACTACCCCGAGGGTGAAGTCCACCTGAAACCACACTCCCTGTATTGGTTGGTGTCTTTAAGGCTCAAGCCTCAGACAGCCAGCTGCTCAGGTACTAAACTTTGGAGCAAATGAGCAGGAGGCACTCTGACTATCTGTTCATTTCTAGAAAAGCTTGAGCTGGAGACTGTTGCCTAGAGAACCAAGCCCAAACAGCAGAATGAACTGAGAGGAATAAATACCATTTCCTGTTGTAAGCATGGGCTGTGAGTAAGCAGTGTGTGTCAGGAAACAGTCATCTAGGGGCTGGGAGGACGCCAGGCCTCTCCTGAGACTTGGAAAATGCCCCGCCTGGCCTCTGCCCTTGGGCACACACTGCCATTTCACCCAGACCGTGCAGGCCTTTGAGGTCGCAGTGGTATGGACACAGGCACATACAGCCACATTTGCGCAGGCAACAGGATCCCTTCTTTCCTTGAAACAAAAGGTTTTCTTTAATTATGGATCCATCTTGACAAGCCTCGCTATTGTTTTGCTTGGGTTTTGTTTACATTATATGCAGGTTATCGAGCCAGACACGGTGGTACGCACCTATAATCCCAGCATTTGGAAGTGGTGGGGTGGCAATACAGTATTAGGACAAAAGAATGAAGAATTCAAGCCAAGCCTCAGCTACAAGGAGAGCTCATGGCCAGCCTTGGCTATGTGAAACCTTGTCTGAAAAAAAGCAAACAGACACCCTGATTTGAAATCATAAACAGTGAGTGGTTGCCAAGAACCAACAATGACTGCCTTGTTGGTCTTGTGTCACCAGTGGTCATAAGTGAATGGGGTAATGCCTAGTCTCGCTATTTTGACTCCAAACTATTTTCCTTCTGCCTACCCCTCCTCTTCACACTCTCCTTCCCTGCCTCCCCAGCTCCTTCATCCTTTGGTTACGTCTGGTAAGTGGTAGAGCCAGGTCCTCTCTGCTCAGTCCCTGCTCCTGGCTGGAGCTGTAAAGGATTCTTTTGTTTTTGTTTTTTACATTTCACCATATTAAGACTTCTGTACACATTACCTTTGTGAAATTTTACCTGTAAGAGAGGAGTGGGCACAGGTCACAAGCCCAGCTGGCCTAACTCCTCCTCATTTGAAAGTGGTACTTCACAACAGGGGTCACCAGCCCTGCTCAGAGTCATGGGGATGGACGGGGCTGTACTGGGCTGGCTCAGTGGGCACTGCCTTTATCTAGGTATTGACAGCCACTCTCTTGGTCACAGGTGCTCTGCTGCAGGAGGAGAGGCTGGATGCGGTGACTCTGCTGTATGCCACCTCTCTGCCCAGCTTTTGTCTGCTGGCAGGCGCTGCTCTGGTGATGGAGGCGGGAGTGGCCCCACCACTGGCTCCCACGGACTCTCGCCTCTGGACCTGTGTCGTGCTCAGCTGCTGCTTGTCTGTGGTCTACAACCTGGCCAGCTTCTCCTTGCTGGCCCTCACGTCTGCCCTCACTGTCCACGTGCTGGGCAACCTCACGGTTGTGGGCAACCTCGTCCTGTCCCGGCTCCTGTTCGGCAGCCACCTCAGCGCTCTCAGCTACGTGGGCATCGCACTCACCCTTTCAGGAATGTTTCTTTACCACAACTGTGAGATTGTGGCCTCATGGGCTACCCGCCGGGGGTTGTGGTACAGGGACCGGCCTGGCAAAGGTCTTTGAGACCTGGTAGAGTGCATGAGCGCTGGGCAGCCCTAGCCTGAATCTTGACCATGGACAATGGCCATGAGGAAAGTGGAGAGGTGCTATGTCCACCAGGCCAGGGAAAGGAGGTGCCTTCTGGAAGGGCTGCCTGGGAGGCCAAGGACCTTCAGGGAGACCCACCGTCCCTGCTGGCCTCACCGGTTACAGCAAGGCCTGCCACTGGATGGTGGGTCCAAGTCTGGTGTGTGTGCTTGTCAAATGAACCATTATGGTTGTCAAGTACTATGATGAGAATTGCTGGGCAAACTTAGAAACCCTCAGTGTGTTAGGATGGAGATGATGCCCAGAGGCTGCACAATGCTTCCTCCAGTGGGGGAGGCCATGAGGGACACCAGCGAAGGCTTCCCCCTAAACACTGGGTAGTCTGTGCCAGCTTCGGCAGCTGCTGCAGCCTCACTCCGGCGCCTCCTCCCCTGCGCTTGGGTCTTCCATCCTCAAATAAACTATTTTTGCTTCAACATCTGTGCCATTCCTTGGGGCTACAGTCAAGGGAACATAAAGGGATTGAGTGGTTGGCTACCATGTGGTTGTCCCTAGTCCCCGACCCTGTGTTGGCCTCCATCCTGTTCTCTGCAAGTCCCTCTACTGGCCAGGCTACCATTGACCAGCTTCAGGGGGGTGGTAGCAGCCCCCGCCCTGCCCTTCCCACCTGTGCCATCTTCCAGGAGCTCTTCTCTTTTTTTTATTTTTTTTTATTTTTATTATTATTTTTTTTTTTTTTGGTTTTTCGAGACAGGGTTTCTCTGTGGCTTTGGAGGCTATCCTGGAGCTAGCTCTTGTAGACCAGGCTGGCCTCGAACTCACAGAGATCCGCCTGCCTCTGCCTCCCGAGTGCTGGGATTAAAGGCGTGCGCCACCAACGCCCGGCCCAGGAGCTCTTCTCTTGGGGGTAGAGAGTGCTCTGGAGTCTCACTCTGTCTAAGGACAGTTTCTGTTGTATGCCACAAGTCCCCTTATTCTGTGTCTTGCCCACCAGAGCCTTCCCTGTGCTGTCCCCCCCCGGTCCCTTTCCTATATGGCCTCCTCCCTTCTTGGCCACATACTTGCCTGGACGAGAAAGACCCCAGCATGCTCCTCTCCCCTCAAGGAGGCCTGTTGCGAGAGGTTGTTCTTCAGGGGTTGAGTCTAGGGTTGTGGGCGCATGGGATCAGTCACAAGAGCAACTTCATGGAGGAGCAGGCACTAAGGAAGCACCCAGGCTAACGTAGGGCCCTAGGGATAAGGCCCTTCATGCAGTGAAGCCAGGGAGAGATCCCTACTTTAGAGTTAGCCCAGAGCTCCCTACCTGGTTGGCCCCAGCTTTGTCTGCCCCTCCCCCACCCCACCCCCTGCCCCTGCCTTTGGTGATAGACAGCTAAGTCTCTGTACCTGTTACAATGGATAAGAACTTAGCCTAAGGCACAAAGGCCTGGGACCTAACTGTGCTAGGTCCACCTAGCTGCTCTCCCTTGTTTAGGTTGTTTTTTTTTTTTTTTTTTTTTCCTTTTCTGATAGTTTTATGTAGTCTAGACAGGCTTCAAAGTCACTAGGTAGCTGAGAGTGACTTTAGACTCTTGATCCTTCTGCCTCTACCTCCAGAGAGCTAGGATTCCAGGCCTGTTTATCACAACACTCAGGCTTATGTGGTACTGGGGTTTCAAGCATCCAGGCAAGCAGCATCCTACCAGCTGAGTGACATCTCTAGCTCCTCCCCTCCCCTTTCTGAGCATCAGTTAATGACCCTCAGGGTTGTAACAATGGTCCCTATGAGCTGGGCATTGGTGGCGCATGCCTTTAATCCCAGCACTCGGGAGGCAGAGGCAGGCAGATCTCTGTGAGTTTGAGGCCAGCCTGGTCTACCGAGCGAGTTCCAGGACAGTCTCCAAAACAATACAGAGAAACCCTGTCTCGAAAAACCAAAAAAAAAAAAAAATGGTCCCTATGGGGAGGATTTGAATGAGGAACCCAGCAGCAAGGAAGGAGGGGGGACCAGTACCAAATGACTGTCATTATTTCAGGTGGCTCCCCGCCACGGCTGCAGATCCACGTGAAAAATAGGTTCCTTTTGAGTGAAGATAGAGCTAGAGTAGGTGGGGGCTGGGATCGAGAGGAACTACCTATTTGTTCACAGAGCCATACTTCATAAAGGACTCCTATGCAGGGCATGTGGAGGGGGGTAGCCTGAAGCTGGCAGGGAGAGAGACAGATGATGAATGGCAAGGAGCACAGACATGCACAGGGTTTTCTAGCCTCGGCCTCCCCTCGCTGGCCTTAGAGGGCCTTGCTGACTCACTGCCACCCACCGCTCTATGACTCAGAGACGCCACTGGCTTGGTCTGTCCCACCCTTACGCAGCTTGCCCAGCTCTGGGTTCCACTCTCAGGCTTGGCTGGGCAGGAGAGAAGAGATGCTTTGGCTGGGGAGACTGACTCTTGTCTTTCTCATTGGAGGGGCTCCACACCACTCTCGGAGCGTACTTGCTTGACCCTCACCCAGGCTCTTTGGCCTCAGGAGATGCCTGCTGCCCGGAGAGCCACCCCCTGACTCTGTACACACAAACAGAGAAGAGACAGACAGACACACACACACACACACACACACACACATACAGAGAGAGAGAGACTATAGCCTGGTGGTGTGGGGACAGCATAGGGGTTAGATGGATCTGTGTTTGACTTAGGTGCTGGCCTGTCATCAGTCACTGAATTGATGTCCCCAAGGCCCTCCAATCAGTTTCCAGCAGAAGCAAAGACAAACAGGGTGCAGAAAGCCAAGGCTAGGTACTACATCTTTCTGCTCACAGCAGGATGCTAGGCTAGTCTTTCCTGGCCCCACTGTGACTGCCAGTGAAGGTCACAGGATAGCCAGTAGGAAGAGCCCCATCACAAGGTCACTATTCCTTTGGGATTCTGTTGTCTTGGGCAAGTGGTCTCACCTCTCTGAGGTTTCATGATCTATGCAGTCACTGCCGGTTTGCCCAGGACAACAAATGTTGCCTTCCTGGGAAAGCTCTTCTCTCCTTCTCCACCTGTCCCCCATACCACAGCAAGTCTGAAGCCCCAGCTGAATGTGCTCATTCCACATAGGGTCCCTGATCACACACACGGTCACACGCCACCTGAGAGCTAGCTCAGCCTTTCTCCTCTTCCTTACTAGACTTGCCTCCCAGACCACTGCCTCCAGCATCGGGATAGGGTGTGGCAGCGAGCAGATGTTACAGCCAGATGCATTGCAAGACCTCCAGGGATTCCGGAAACAGCTCTGTACAGGCCATGTTCTTTTTGTGCGTTCATGTGATTTCTATCTTAACTGAACCCTTATCACACACTTGGCCTGAACTTCTGTGGTCTGAAGTACAACAGCAAACAGCACAAACAACTTCTTTCTTTTTCACAGTGTCACAGACCTGCTCTTATATGTCTTGATCTTAGCAATTAGAGTTCAATACCTACCTTTTCACTTAAACACTTTAAAGCTTCCTTTTGGCAGGCCGGGCGGTCATGGCATGCACCTCTAATCCCAGTACTCGGGAGGCAGAGACAGGCAGATCTCTGAGTTTGAGGCCAGCCTGGTCTCAGAGCGAGTTCCAGGACAGCCAAGAACAGCTAAGGCTACACAGAGACACCCGCCTCAAAACAAACAAACAAAGCTTCCTTTTGGCCTATCCAAAACGCAAACTTCACTCTACTATTCTTGTGTTTGGGGACTAATAAGTAAAATAACAGTCACCTACACACAACCATAGTAATACCACATGTAATAACCATACTAAAACACCAACTGTGTGACCGATGACCCCTATATTATGAAGATGACTCAATGGCCTGGGTAGGCGGAAGCTGGACAGGTGTGATGTCACAATGCTACTCAGAAAGGTGCATGGTTTAAAGTGCAGGGATTATTTCTGGAATTTACTTGATATTTTCAGACTGTAGTTGACAGTTACATTAGTCACTTTATCTGTCGCTGACAAAAGCAACACTAAAGGAAGAAAATGTTCCTTCAGTTCAGAGTTGGAGGTTGTGGTCCCTCAAGTCAGTCAAGGCGAACGCAGGAGCCTGAAGCAATTGGTCACCTCACATCCAACAGTCAAGAGTCAGGGAGCGGTGGATCCCTGTGCTCAGGTCAGTTCCCCTTGTTAAAACGCTCAGGGAGCGTTGGGTAGAGCTCAGCTAGCCCAGTCATGATATAACGCACCACAGGCGAGCCCAGAGGCTCCTGGGTAATGGTAGGTCTTCCCAGGGTGACAACTGAGACCGCCCTTCACAAAGATCAGTACTAGAAATCGTGGAAAGCGAAAATGGGGCAACGGTGTGCTATTGCACTACTGAAATGGGGACAGCGGTGTGCGATTGCACTACTGAAAAGCAGGAGCCTGAGGGTCAGAAGGGTTTGAGTCCTGGCTCTGGCATGCTGTGACCTAGAGCACGGGCCTTCAGTTCCTGTGCCTCTGTGCTGTAAATGGGGCAGTGAAACCGAACTCCCTGCAGCTCTCAGGAGCTGCCTGGGAAACACTTAGCCCAAATGTCCTGAGTCAGTGTCACAGACACTCCAGAGTTCCTCCTCCAGGCAATTTGGTCATCTCTCCACCCTTCCTCTGTGGCCACCTGCACACTGACAACCTCAGGGCATGCTCCTGTTGGACAGCAAAAGGGTATAGTCCTGGCCTCCAGGCTTCTGGCCAGGTCTTGGAGGAAGCCAGGAAGCTGGAGCTGTGCTGGGCATCCTGCCATTGTGGACTTCAGGCAAAGCCTTGTCTCAGCCTTAGCTACCAAGGTTCCCCTCCCATCCTGCCCTGGTACCCTTGGGTTGTCATTCTAGAAGGCCAGGGCAAACAAGGATTCCTTTTTTCAGTGCTAGGGACTAAACCCAAGGGTTGTGTATGTTAGGCAAGCTCTCTCCTTCTAGTTCTGAAAGACTTCTTAGGATTGGGGATGGGGCTCCATTGGTAGAATGTACAAAATGCTAGGTTCAGTCTGCTCCTACCATGGTGGCTCATGCTTGCAATTCGAGCACCTGGGAGGTGGAGGCAGGAGGCTCAGAATTTGGTCATCTTTAGCTACACAGTGATTTGAGGCCAGCCTGGGTTACATGGGAACAAAACCCTAAATCAAACCAACAGTAAGAACAAAACAAAGCAAGGACTTTTCTTGCTGTGTCCTGTCCCTGCCCTGTCCCATCCTTCCTTCCCCCATGCCTCACCCCCCCTTGACACACCTTGAGCCTCTTCACCTGCTGAGCCAGGTTGCCAGTGCACTTCTCTGCTGAGTAATCATTTTCCATGCACTTCTCTGCTGAGTAATCATTTTCCATGCACTTCTCTGCTGAGTAATCATTCTCCATGCACTTCTCTGCTGAGTAATCATTCTCCAGTGCACTTCTCTGTTGAGTAAGCATTCTTCTCCAGTGCACTTCTCTGCTGAGTAAGCATTCTTCTCCAGTGCACTTCTCTGCTGAGTAAGCATTCTTCTCCAGTGCA